AGCATGTTCATCAAATGGATGTTAAGACGACATTCTTAAATGAGGATCTCGATGATGAGGTTTATATGGAACAATTCGAAGAGTTTGCTCTAACTAGAAATGAGCATAAGGTGTGCAAGTTAGTAATATCGTTATACAGTTTAAAGCAAACACCTAAGAAATAGTATGAGAAATTTGGCTTGGCTATTAATTCATTTGATTTCGAACATAATAGTGTAGATAAATGTTTATATTTCAAATTATGTGATAGTTGTGTTATATTTATTTGCTTATACTTTGACGACATATTGATTTTGAGTAATTACATGAACATATTAAAAGAAACAAAGAGATTTATATTTTCCACATTCAAGAAGAATGATCTTGAACAAGTGGATACCATTTTGGGTATCAAAGTCACTAAAACTAGCTAGGGTTACAATTTGAGTCAATCACATTATATCGAGAATGTGATAAATAAGTTCAAACATTTGAACATAAAAAAATTTAGTACCCATCTTGATCGAAGTTTAAAACTTACAAAGGATGATAGAATAGAAATTGCACAATTGGAGTATGCAAGTGTTGTTGAGAGTCTAATGTATGATGTTCAATGCACAAGACCAGACGTAACATTTGTAATTAGCAATCTTAATAGGTTTACTAGTAATACGAGTAAGGAACATTGGAAGACCATTGGAAATGTTCTTGGTTATTTAAGAAAATCAAGAACTTATATCTACAATATACTAAATTCCCGGCATTAGAATGATTTATCGATACTAGTTGGATATCTAGTATGGGTAAAAGTAAATCTACTTCGAGTTGAATGCTTACTCTTGGAGGATGTGCTATTTCTTGGAAATCAAATAAATAAACGTGTATTACACACTCAACTATGAAATTTGAATTTGCAGAACTATCAGAAATCGGGAAAGAAGTTGAGTGACTTAAGGATTTACTTTATGAGATACCATTGGGATCGAATAATACATTTTCAAAATCTATCATGTGTGATAGTCAAGCCACATTAGCAAATGCATACAACGAGGTATACAATGAAATGTGTAGACATATGAATTTAAAACATGACCATATAAGGAATTTAATCAAGACTGGAATAATTTCACTAAATTATGTTAAGTCGGTAAAGAACTTAGTGGATCCTTTAACTAAACCTCTAAATAGAGATTTAGTAATATCTACTTCGAGTAAGATGAGACTGAAACCTTTAAACTAAAAGATTCACAAATGACGACGACCCTACCAGTCATTACTTAACAAGTAATCCCCAACTTCAAAGAGTAACAACAAGTTATTCAATATGTGGATAATTTCAACATTATAAAATTTGCGATAATCCTATTCTAATTATATAATGCTGGTTGTTACTCAAGTGAGGGTTAAACTTTAAGCTCTTAATGAAGTTCAATACTGAGTAAAAGTTCAAAAGTTTCATGCTAGATTTAATTTCGACTTTACTTTATTTGAATTACACTAAGGCTAGATTCAAATCGAATGATGTCTAATTCTTATACATAAGTATTGTATATTTTGAATATAAGATTTTATTGAATATTGAATTAGTGGAAGATTGTTGAAATTGTTGTTCAAAATCAATAAAATAGAATGTGGAATAAAATTGAGAAATTTGAGTTTTTTGCCCATGCGTACAATAGGCTATTCTACCATGCATACGCATATGATTAAAAATTAGCTGTTTGTTGATTTTTCAACTTGGAACTTGGTATCTTTTTGGATGAAAAATTGCTTCTTTTCATCATGTTTTGGCACCATTTTGTGCAGTATATGTTGAGATCTATATGATTAATACAAAACATACTAAAACTACATGAGATCAAATTCCATTCCACAAGAAAGATCAAAACCCCTTTTCTTTCATATTCAAAATTTTGTTTTGCGTTATTAAGTTTTGAAAGAATTTCACTATTGTTTAAATGTTTATTCATTTTCAAGGCTTGATAAATCATGCAAATTATTTGCTAAGAGTCCCTTTAAGCATCAAATTTAATCCGAGAGAGGGCAAATATTGTTCGAGGACATCGATTACGAATTTAAACCTTCATCTTTTATTCCGATTTTCTTGTTATTTGTGTCTTCTCCATCTTCTTTGTGTGGAAACATTATTCCAACAACTGCTGCCATTGGAAAAGTTGTGTGAAGAGTTGTTTCTAGTGCTGTAATGGCTTGTACTCTACAGAGAAAAGAAACGCCATTACAGTGAGAAGATTATATAAATTATTGTGATGGTATTTTACTATTTTGCGGCATTGTGGACACAAATTTCTTATCATTTGTCACCCATTATTTTGGAATTTTGCATGTACGAGTATATGTGTACTCACTGCTCATGTTTGTTGTGCCGTGTTAAACTATCTTGTTAGGTTGGTTTAATTTGATATTAAATTTTATTTTACATCTTATAAATGATATTATTAATAATTTCACTATCGATAGTGTCACAGGCAACCACCTATGGGCACGGACGAATAGTTAAGCCTTGGCTGCAGCCTGGGGGCAAGCCAACAGAATTTTAAACGTTGTGCTGCTTATAAACTTCGCGGCTGTGATTTTTGCTCTGCAGCTGCGAAAAAATGTTCGAAGCACTTTTCCACTTCAACTTTTGACTTGACATCTTTTTCTTCACCTCGGATCATGAATAAACATACATTTTCCTTTACTTGTATCATGATGGTTTGTGCACTTGTTGTCTAAGCACCAGTTTGGTTTAGTTAAATATCAGTTTTTTAGTAAATTTTGATAAAAGTTAATGAAATGTGTAATTGAAAATGAGTTTGAGAAAAAGTAAATTTTAGAAATTGTGGGCCAAACAGGAGGCTAAATAGCTATATATAGGTAGTTTTTTATGGATATTAATCAGATACGCGATATACAACCATATAGGCTAATACTATCATCCAAAAACAACAAATTTCATAATTTTTAAAGTATTTTTTTTCTTATTAGGATTCTTTACTTTTTGCTTGGTGATTAACTTTTCGAGACTTGCTTAATCTTCCAACTATTTTTCGGTAAACGTTTGATTACGGGTTCAAGCTATTCCTTATTTCGGGTATCTCATCTTTTATTTGGTGTTGATTGAGTTTTCAACAAGCCGAACTATATTTACGGTTGCAATGGAGACAGCGATAACTTGGGCAACCGTTAAATTTATGGACCGATTCTTGATTTGTTTGGATCGTTTTGGCGGTACAAACTTCATCCCGATGGCTTTTTGTACAATTTTATTGGTGTGGTGTGGAGAAATATTATTGTCCATACATGAAGTGTGTAATGTTCAAAAACGAGAAGGAGCGCTGTGGTAACTGGTAATAAGATAAGATGAATGAAATTAAAACCAGCTGAATGTAAATTGTGACCTTTCAATACTCAAGTATTAAACATTATGCCACGGAATAGAAGATGAATTGTTCTCTTGATATTGATTGAGTGTAAATTATGAAGATTGACTAATGGTATTTATTTTAGGGATGACAAAAAAATGTGTCATACTCAATACTTGTGAGGCTCCACCTTGAACGAGATTGGAATTTCCCACCTAATTGGGTACATGGACTTAGGACGGGGCATGAGTCGTTGTCCCAACGGGAACATGGTCTCCGTGCCCATTGCCATCCCCCATTTAAAGTTTATTTGAAAATGTAAGTTTTTTACCACAAAAAGAAAACAATCATCATCATTTCTAGGGAAAACATGATTTTTTTTACAATTTGAAAAAAAGTAATAATTTTCATCCACTTAAAATATTTTAAAAAAAAAAGGATGTTAAATGGCATCGGGAACTGTACTACCTTCCTCGTCTTAATTGGATATGATGGTGGGACAAGGAGACAAAAATACCCAACGAGATGGGGGAATGAGAATGGCCACATCACTATGTTGCCATCCCTAGGTATTTTTGACAAATGAAAAAAAATATTATCAACCAATTATTTCTTCAATATCCACTTTTCTCGATGTTTCATTCTTCATCCCTACACTCCAAGTTTTCAACAATTTAAAACGATATCTACTACTGCAATGGAGACGAACTATTTTGGCAACAATTGAATTAATGAACCAAGGCTTGGTTTGTTTGGATAGTTTCGATAGCACAAACTTAAGCCGGTGGCATTTTGCACAATTGTGGTGGTGTGCTTTGTGAATTGAAATTTTCGGAGTGGGGAAATGTTGTTGCCCTTACATGAATTGCATGATGTCCATTATCATGAATGAGAGTGGAGGTAACTGATAATATGAAGAATGATGTTAAAATCATAATGAAGGTAAGTTATGACCTTTTAATAGACAAATTATTAAACATTATGCCGTGAATGATAGGTCATAAAATATGAATGAAAGTTCTCTTACATCAAATAAATGGTAATGAAATCGATAATTTAAGTGGCTTGACGAGATGTCCTTTGGATATAATGTTCGTGTGTAGTACACCTTCCTAATTTAACAATAGAATTTGACGAAATTTCTCAATAGGAATGATATGTGGGACGAAAAATTAACACGGATGAAATTGCTACAAACCTGAAAGATTAGGGATCTAGAGTGTAATTTGCCCTTATTTTTTCATGAGGAGCTGTTTTTGTATCTTCAAATATTACTAAAAGACAAAAAAATAAAAATAAAAAATGAAAAGGCTCCAAAATGATCGTGTCTTGCTTTATGTACAGCTAGTAATTGCCACAGAAATATATTCCAAAATCAAAAGAAAAGATATTCCAAAATCCAAAAGAAAAGATATTCCATTTCCATTGAAGGAGAGGGCAATTATTGTTATTATTACAATGCGACTCGCCAATGTTTACCATCGGTACGCTCTACCCCCCTCTCTCTTCTATCACCACCTCCATATCCATACTCTTACCAAACCCCTTCTCTCTCTAAAACCACCTAAATCTTCATCTATTCTCGTCGAGCATTCCAGAACCGAAATCCACAATTCTCCAATTGTGATTGTTAATCCTGCAATCAAGGCTACTGCTATGAGATTCCACAATATTGTCCCAGTCAACGCTGTTGCTTCGGAGGAGAGTGGTGGGTCAAACGGTGCAAGTGTTTCTCCAGCTGATTATGAAGGTATCTTGTTAGTTCTATACATGGATAAATGGACTGTGATAAATATATATGACTTTATTATTTTGATGAATTTTTGGATTTGAAGTAGATGAAGTTTCACTAGAAGTCCTTTAGGCCATGGAGCGTTTTATCTTCTTGGTAATACTTTCTCAAAGTGTGTTTACCAACTTTTGGCGTTGAGGTTTTGATTTGTATGGATTTTAAGTCTAGTGTAGAATGTGTTAATCATATCATATGGGAAAGTAGCCATTTGCTTCTTCTACCGCACTTGAAAACTTACGAAACCGGTGCAGAAGCGTTATGAAATTCTTATTATAAGAATTGAAAATCAGAATTATATTAGATTAATCTTACTTTGTATTGATATATGATTGATTGATTAAAAATTGTACAATATCCCTANCCCACTTGAAAAAAAAACTCGTCCTCGAATTTTGTTGAAGAAAAGAATCATTGATAAATGATAACTTGTGTGTATTCGAATTTGGTTGGGACTCGAGGAAAATCTCTAACCACATGTTGTCGTGTTCTATGCTTGTTGAAACAACCAACATTCATAGCAGATAAGGTCTGCAAATTCTTGTCAGCTTGCTTCTCCACGGGCTTACAATTCCTTTCAAAACTCAACGCAGTCAACATCTGCGTGATGTTGTGAATGGTTTCATCGATCCACTCGATTCGTTGTTCCAGTTTGTGGAGCCCCCGTTCGTAGTCGGTGATTCGACTACCACCAGTACCTTCGTTGGCCATCGGATTAAGGCAATTTCCTTGCTTTGATACCAATTTTGGTGCGGAAGTGTTATGAAATTCTTATAATAAGAATTGAAAATCAGAATTATATTGGAATAATCTTTGCTTTGTATTGGATTTTCTGTATTACATCTTAAGAAATGTTATCTATTTGATTTGCATTCCATGCCATCACACGTCTTTTACAGATCCACATTTTAGATACACATTACCATGTTCCACTAATAGTCATCTCTTTTTTTTGGAGTTTTTATAGATACCTCATGTTCCTGTTTCTTTAATTGTGAAATTTAACTGCTCGTATCAAATATAGAGTACATTATCTATATCTGTTATCCGTTCGTGCACATCGTTGGTGGTTATATTTCACGTGCTTGTAGATTCATCATTGAGCAACGGATATTGCCTTCCTCCACCAGAGATTAGAGATATTGTTGACGCTCCACCCCTTCCAGCACTATCATTCTCACCTCATAGGGATAAAATTCTATTTCTCAAGAGGAGATCTTTACCTCCTTTGTCAGAATTAGCAAGACCAGAGGAGAAGCTTGCTGGTGTTCGAATTGATGGAAAATGCAATTGCCGGAGTCGCATGTGAGTAAGACGAAGTTCATCTCACATTTTCTTATCTTTCAAAGTATATATTATTTATTTATTTATTTATTTTCATCTCATGGTCACAATGATATGAACTGTGGCAATTGAGTCATTGATGCCAATTGATTCATCTCTGTATTTTACAAATGACACCACTAGGTGAATTTTGTTAAGGTCCATCGCATCACTTTGTTATGAACCAACAGTATGACTGACTTGGGACTTTGTTAGTTATGCTTTTTTTATTTTTTTTAAATTTTCCCTTATGACCTCTTTTAAAACATTTTAACCTTTTTATTTTCAGGTCATACTATACTGGTATAGGGATCTACCATTTAATGGATGATTGTACTCTAGGCCCAGAGAAGGAGATACACGGCCTTCCAGATGGTGCTAAAATTAATTTTGTTAGCTGGTGAGACCTAAGATTTGTGCTCTCTCTATATCCTATTTCATTGGGAGCCATTTGACATTTTTTATGCACGTTGATGTTTGCAATAATATACTGGGAATAAATACTTAATTTTTGAGAAGATTAGGGAATTCAATGCCTAAAAATAAAATATTATAGGACTTTTCATTATTAATGCCTGAAAGGGTGAAGTTATCCCAGCGTGTACTATATTCTCTCTGCTTTTTATTTATTTTTCTTATTTGTGAGGTGTGGTTTTTACGCTGTTAGTATTAACCATTTACTGCCACTTGTTAGAGTGAATAAATTTGATAAAACTCCTAAAGAAGTGCGAATCTTTTGCCACTAAGGTAATAATTATAAGTTCAAAATTATTCAAATTTTATACATTTCAAACATGCTGAGACCGTACATACTGTCACTCATGGTGTCACGGTGCACTGCAATAGGTTTCTCTGGTGTTTTCAACTTGTTAATTTTGAAAAGAATCTGAATGTTGAAGGACATTACTCGAGCTAATGTAACTTCTCATAATTTTCATATTTCTAGGGCATTTTACTTAATTCATAAAATTTGAATATCTAGACCACATATCATTTTATTTGTCTTTAAACTGGAGCGTGATGGCAATTTTTTCATTTTTAAAAGGAAAAAAGAGTTCTATGCTTTACATCTTATTGAACTCAATGAAAACCCATAGCAGGGAATGCAGAGTTTCTTGTATGCAGATATATAGATAGTGTAGGGAAAGTGCATTTCTTAGTAAAGTAGATGTACAAACACAAGATTTCTGTTGCTTTCATGTTTGCCTTATGGTATAACTCTGATTTTATACTACAAAAAACATTGAGCTAATATACTTAAGTAGTTATTTGGTGCAAATTATTTTGATCATTCTATGACTCACTTCTTTTGTCCTACTAGGTCGAATGATGGTCGGTATCTATCCTTTAGTGTACGAATTGATGAGGTACGTAGCTCAATTTTGTTGTCTTGCTGCCAGTTGTATAACGATATATGTAACATTGATATAGCTAGATTGATGTCAATACAATACCATGTTGATACACATTAAATTGCCAACTTCACTTGCTAGAATGACACATACTTCATCTAGGACCTTCAGTTAAAGAGACATGTTCCTACTTAATGCAAGTTCAGTACTTAAAAATATAATTTTTATTTTCTTATTTCTTGAGATACGTTTTATTTCTTGAAATTGTAACGACCTCTTGTTTTTATGTTTTGCTTTTATCTTAAACAGGAGGATGGCATTAGTAGCATGCTAAGAGTATGGGTTGCAGACGTGGAAACAGGAAAAGCTAGGCCACTCTTTGAGTCATCAGATATGTTCCTAAATGCAGTTTTTGACAAGTATGTTAAATTGTTTTCGAAGGTTTGTAAATATCGTTAAGATTATATTAATATTTATCTAACCTATGCTTCTCAGCTTTGTTTGGGTTAACAACTCAACTCTATTGGTTTGCACCATTCCTTTTTCTCGCGGAGACCCCCCAAAGAAACCTCTAGTTCCCTCTGGTCCTAAGATACAATCTAACGAACAAAAGGACATCATTCAAGCCAGAACTTATCAGGATCTTCTTAAAGATGAATATGATGAAAGCTTATTTGAGTACTATGCCACTTCACAACTGGTTTTGGTATCTTTGGATGGGACGGTAAAGCCGGTTGGACCACCAGCTATATATACATCTTTGGATCCCTCTCCAGATGAGAAATACATTTTGATTTCTTCAATTCACAGACCGTATTCATTTATTGTACCGTGTGGAAGATTTCCAAAAAAAGTTGATGTTTGGACAGCTGATGGGAAATTTGTTAGAGAACTTTGTGATTTGCCCCTTGCTGAGGACATCCCCATTACACACAATAGTGTTCGTAGAGGGATGCGCTCAATTAATTGGAGAGCAGATAAGCCTTCTACACTTGTCTGGTATGCTACTTGTTACATTATGTTCTTTTCTTGTGCAATTTGGCAATTGTTGTTCCGAATGAAAATGATTACTTACCTTATTATTGTACGCTCGACATGTTGCTTATAGAATATTTTTTTTTTGCTGAATTACATATAGGGTTGAGACACAAGATGGCGGTGATGCCAAAATGGAAGTCTCTCCACGTGATATAGTTTATACACAGCCTGCCGAGTTACTTGCTAGTGAACAACCAGCAGTTCTGCATAAGCTTGATTTGCGCTATGGGTATGAATACAAACTGTCCCACTGTACTCTGTCCTATAATTTGTCGGATCATCTAGGTTATGTCCACTTGAATATTTTACATTCGATAATTATTTTCTTAGTTTCATCATTTTTTGAGGCTTGCCAATAGGATATCAGCTTCAGTCAATTTCATGCAGCTTACTAATTGCATACATGTTTTATGATATTCTCTAAGACTTGTTATCTTACATTTGCTCCCTTGTTGTATTCGTTTGATAGTGTATCTTAAAATTGATCCTATAGTCGGATATAGCTTTGAGTTTGTGCATAGTCATTGCTTCGTAATTTAATATCTTTCAGCTGGAACTCCTTTATCTTGTATTATTTTGTTCTTTGTACCTATATTTTACAAGTCATTGTCATGGACTCTCAAGGAGCAAACCACTTTCCTGGATGGAACAATGACTGAACAACTATATCAAGAGTATGTTTGTGTGAATCTGCATTTCCTCTATGGAATATATTGATTGACCTGAACCGGGCCTTTGTACAAATATAATTCATGAATTTGTCGGATCTACTCAAAATTCAAATATTTGTTTTTGGTAGCCATGACTGAAATCTGAAGCAGTGTTCTAAAATGCGTAATGCGTTGCGATGCGTCGAGACCGAGAATCAAGAATCACAAGTTTAGGCGTGTCAATGCGAAGAATAAGCGTCATAATGCGTTTCGTATTTTTAAGGCATTAAATATATTTTTATATAAAAAAAAATTACCAAAAAAAAAAAAATAATATTTTTTAATAAGCGCCATAATGCGTTTTGTATTTTTTAGGCATTAAATATATTTTTATATAAAAAAATAGATTTTTTACAAAAAAAAAAAAATTGGGCGGCATAATGCGCGCCTAGGCGGCATAATGCGTGCATTAGGCGCGCCTAGGCGGGATTAGGCGCGCGCATTGGGCCGCCTTTTAGATGGAAAACGCATTTTCCCGAGCATTCCCGAATTCGACGCGTTTTGGCCGCGCGTCGTGCCTAGGCGGCGCATTGCGCGCATTTTAGAACACTGATCTGAAGTAGCATCAATAAGAGTCCTACAATCATCAATAACTCTACTTGTATGTTTTTCTAATATTTACATGTCTAATACTGTGGCCTCATATGTCTGACTCCTTACTCCTTTTCACAGAGGGATCTCTTGGTGTGATGATTCGCTGGCATTAATTTATGAATCTTGGTATAAAACACGGAAAATAAGAACATGGGTTATTTCACCTGGATCGAAGGATGTGAGTCCCCGCATACTATTTGATCGGTCTTCTGAAGATGTTTATTCTGATCCCGGCTCTCCCATGCTGCGAAGAACTCCTGCTGGCACTTATGTGATTGCAAAGATAAAGAAGGAAGGTGATCAAGGAACCTATTTGTTATTGAATGGAAGTGGTGCTACTCCACAAGGAAATATCCCATTTTTGGATTTATTTGATATGTAAGTTTGATATTATTTTTGTTTGTTATCGATCATTGGCAACTGGGTGATCTGATATTAGTTGTTTCAGAAATACAAGCAATAAAGAACGAATATGGGAGAGTGACAAGGAGAAGTACTATGAGACTGTTGTTGCTCTGATGTCTGATCAGAATGAAGGGGAACTATATGTTGATCAGTTAAAAGTATTGACTTCAAAAGAATCTAAAACTGAAAACACCCAGTATTTCATACTGAGCTGGCCAGGAAAGAAAGCATGCCAAATTACGAATTTCCCTCATCCTTATCCTCAGTTGTCTTCCTTGAAGAAAGAAATGATCAGGTACGAGAGGAAGGATGGGGTACAGCTTACCGCAACCCTATATCTTCCACCAGATTATGATCCTACTAGAGATGGACCCCTTCCATGTCTGGTGTGGTCTTACCCTGGAGAGTTCAAAAGTAAAGATGCAGCTGGACAAGTCCGTGGTTCCCCAAATGAGTTTGCTGGCATTGGTCCAACATCTCCTCTTCTTTGGCTAGCAAGAAGGTGTGAATTTTTTCTCCCCTCTGTTTGGTTGAGATACTATCTTGCTTATGTTGCTCATTAATTAACCCAAACTTTCAGGTTTGCCATCTTATCTGGACCAACTATACCAATCATTGGTGAGGGTAATGAAGAGGCAAATGATAGGTATGGTAATGCTTCCAAGGCCTTATACTGTTTTAATAAAAAAGTAAAAGTGCTATGGTATTTTTTATTAAGATAAAAAATTGAAACTACTAAAAGATTTGGCCTTCTACTGAAGAGGAAAAAGTTGTAACTATGGGTGGTATGCTGCCAACTGGATGTAGAAGAGAGTCAGGAATGCTAAGCTGTTTACTTGTAAGAAGAGTGACAGAGACTTATATGAATCCCTATGCAATTAATACAGCAGAAAAGTAATTAAAGACGTTCTGAGTTTATAAATCATTCAAGTGGGACCTACCGGGAAGAAGAAACTTAGGGTCCATTCTCTTCGTGTTTCAGTTTTGTATTTTGTGTTTTAAATTTGTTTTATGTTCTGTCTTATCAAAAAAAAAAAAATTTGTTTTGTGTTCTGTGTTTTGAGTGTCTGTTTTGAAATTTCTGAAAATGCGTTCTTTTTGCCATTCTGAAACATAGTTTCCGAAAACATGATGAAAGAAAATATGCTTTCATAAATAAATATACCGTATAAAAGTGTTGCCAAACTTCCTCTGCAGCGTTAACTTTGTTGGTATTTGGATCCCATGTGACCCCAGTATGCGCCAACAGTTCGGAGAACATACGGTGAATCTTACGTAAACGGTTCCACTTTCCCTTTAATCTATCTATCCCGTAATCCACTTTGGTTGAAGCAACCATTATTTCATTGATTCTGCCCCATTCATCTCTCGTGAACGTAGAACATTGCAATGCGTTTGATTTCACTCTCTCGTAATGAATTTTGATAAAAGTAAGTTTATTCTCATCCGACCAAGACATTGGTTCCTTATTCCTAACTCTATGACCACCCATGTTCTATATTCAACATAAATAAAATTGTCAGATACAAAATGTGAAAGTAATATATAAAATGACAATGTATACATCAAAATATCATGTTTTCATTTTAACATTTCTCACACATTTCTCACACTCACACAGAAGACGTAGAGGATGGTAAATAGTCATGTGCTCGATCAATAGTCTAAGCTATTTCTAACTCTCAAGATAGGATGGTAATTGATGCATGTCTATAAATTCCTGACTCTCTAAATGAAATTAGCAGCATGGGGAGTTTGTAAAATAGGAATCTATTGTCGTAAATTATTTCTCTTATAAACTTTTTGTCCTTCAACTTGTTCATACATTTGGGCAGTTGTACGATGTATAAAGCATGCGTCATTTTTCAAGAATTCGTGATATATCATTAATTTTGAAGAATTTCAGGTAGTACGTCATCACAATATATAACTCAAGTCTTCTGTCACAGGTTTGTAGCGCCTATAATAAAAGGAGATTATCCACTATTCATGAGAAAAAATGTAGGAGTACGTCTTCCCAAATTTAAACAAAATGAGGCGACGCTCATTTTAGTTTTAGAACTCCCAGCAAAGTGTTGCCAAACTCCACTGGTTTTAGTTTTAGAACTCCCAACAATAAGTTTTAGAACTCCACTAGTTTCTGAACACAAAAAGAATCAAACGATATATCTACGAACAACAAGAATCAAACTCAATTCATTGTTGGGATGAATGTATATTCGGCATGACAGGTTACACACCCACATACCCACCATCACAACGACAACCATCACACCCACTGCTCCAGCACCACCTCCACCTCCACCTCCAGCCCAACCTTCAGCTGCACCTCCACCTCTAGCACCACTTGAATTTCCAGCGCCAGCTCCACATCGACCTCCAGCCCCGGCTCCACCTCCAGCTCCAGCACCAGCAATCGCCCCCACCTCTAGCACCAGCAATCGCCTACTGCTCTAGCACCTGCAATCGCCCCCACCTGCAGCCCTAGCTCCACCTCCAGTGCCAGCTTCAGCTCCACCACCAGCTCCACCTCCACCTCCAGCACCAGCAATCGCCCCCACCAAGAATTTCAGTGACTACTAACTATTCCCCAACCCGCCTCAATTTCGCACCAATCAAATAAAGAAACAAACGG